TAGGAGCTTTGGGATCCGTCAGATTCTGGGAGAATCAGCCTCATCTAACCAACATGCTTAAGTCTAATTAATGCACAAAGGGGTTAACGCCAGAGAGTCAACTGTCCTGCCAGGCTTAGCTCACCTCAGGAGGGATTAGGTAATCCAAGCTTTTTTTCCTTTTCAGTCTACCAGAGCAGCTCAACATGTAAAGTGATTTTGAGCTGGTTATTGCAGCTCAGACTGCATGGCTCCTACAAGTCATTCTTGTGTCCCTATACCAATAATTTAGGAACATTCATCACTAAGCCAGGTTTTACTGCCTTGTGTTTTCTGAATGCTGTATGGAAAAGCACATGAATCTGATCTTTGGAGAGTTTGGAAGTAAACCATTTCTAACTCAACAAACATGCTAAGGGAGGTGGGAAGTTATGGAACTCATAAAGCCATATTTAAAAGGTCCAGCAGCCTATACTGTATTTCTCTGCTTTATTTTGCTGCGTGTTTTGTGATTTTAAATCAGTGTTCTCTTACCAAAGAGTGTCATGTATTCTACTCAGTATTGATCCAGAGCAGAACTCCAACGTATGGTTAGCAGAGTAAAAATTTAAACATGTTGCAGGATTCCCCAAAAACAGACCAGAGGCAATTAATTTCATCCAAGAGAGCTTTACTGCTACTGAAGGCAAATGAGCATAATGGTCACAAATCCCATACATTCAGGATTGGCCGTGTTCATAAAAAATCCAGTTGCATCAGACTTAACTTAAATTTATAATAAGACAAAAAACTTAACACTATATAAAGAACACCACACCAGAAAGAAAGATAGAAAAGAGAGCAAAACCCAGGCTCCTTCTGGCCTATTATTATAGTCAGCATTGCATTGAAGAAGAGATAACAGGCTCAGTTTAAGCCAGCTGTACTCAGCTTCTCTGAAGCAACAACCCAAACATCAGGTACCTTCTGCTTGTTTCATTCACACAGAGAAGCTTCCAAAACCCTCTTGAATTAATTAGAATAGGAAAGATCTCTACACATCAGATCAATACTTTCTGTACCAAGAAATGCAAACTGACCAAGAGCACTTGCCCCAAACTTGGATCTTGGTATCCAGGGAATTCTCCTTTCTAGATACCTATTTGGTCCTTGCCCCCCAACACAGATCCCAAAAGGCCACTGAGGAGGGAAGGATAAAGGTTTAAAATGAATTATTAATGATCTTGCTGAATTAATTTTTAAAATAGAATACAAGAAGGGAAGGCGGGTGGAAGTAAAGAGAATAAGGTGTTGAAAGTTACCAATATGAAAGAGTGCTCTTTTTAACATTAACTTTGTACTTTTCTTTTTTCTGTTTGGATTTTTGATGTTTGTTGTATGAATTTTTCTTTTTCCTGTTTTCTGTTTGGATTTTTGATGTTTATTATTTGTTTTGTGTGATTTTTGTTGATTTTTGTTGGTTAATTTTTGGAAATATCAATAAAATATTATTATAGAAAAAAACAAAGAGAAAAAAAACAAAAGGCCACTGAGGAAGATCACCCATGATCAAAATGCATCTGATTGTTTATTTTACATAAAGTGATCTGCCTTGCCTTTTTGCTTCAGAGGGGCTAATAGCAGCTGTAGCCTTTTGCTGTTTTCTAATTAAATTATACCTGCAAACTTTTGAGTAACCAGTGCCCCGTTTTTAGTGTTATAAAGCGCATCTGCCACAACAGATTACAAAAGTTAAAATCTGTTAAGGCGCTGTCCTAGTTTGTAACGTTCAACCTTTTGAATATTATGCATCCCAAATTGCTGGGTGCTTCCTTAGGGTCAAAGTGCTGGCTGTGCAAAACTTGCACTGGCTAGAACTAGAAACTAAATAGAGAGTGTCTCAGAGCGTGTTTGCATCTTGGCTATGTTAAGCTGGCTTTGCTCTGCCTGCACAGCTAATCTTTTCTCCCCAGCGTGATTCAGAGAAGTCGGCACAACAGCACTTTCTAGCATTTTTTAGTTTTGCCAGCCTGGTGCTGAAGGGAGTCAGCCTCGGTTTATTCCCAAACAATGAGGTCCCTTTTCCTTTCGCAACTCCTTTTGCTTCTTTCTTGGCTCCAGGAATCAGAATGCAGAACTCTTGAAAACTCATTGGATTCGTGTACAATCCTAGTGACAAAGGTGTACCAGCAAGCCTGCTCCTTAAGAGGGATTGTGACCACATCCCAAACCGGTCACTTGCCTGTTTCCAAAACGTAGTAGTGCCTTAGCATCTGGGGGGCAACCATGGCTTTGTCATGCTCCTTGACAGGGATGGGCGCTTAGCTAAAGCCCCTCACCCCGCCTCTGTTTCCATGCCAGACACCTTGCAGCAAAGTCAGGGAATTTGTAAGCAGCAGGTGGTCTGGGGACCTGGAGAGCCGATGCCAAGGGAGCCCAAGTTCTCCTTCAGAATGCTTCAGAATGAAAAGCCCGCTTGGCAGGCAAGACCCCTGAGAGGCCAGTTCCAAACAGATTGCTTTATTTTTATAAAAGCCTTCCATTTTACTCATTGGTTTATTTGTAGCCTAACCTGCTGCTTTTATAGCTTCAGGCATGCATGCATGCATTTTTAAATGGAGAAAGGGAGGCTTTGTGAACTGCAACGTAAAATGTTCCTAAAATATAAACTGCGCCAAGGTTAGATCCACTCAGTTGTTTTCTCGCTGCCTGCTAAATGCCAAGGTTAAGAGGCTTAGCTCAGCAGCTGCTGAATATGGAGATAGGCAGGCACGATAACGTCAGGCTCACCTTAGATGAAGGAACACTATGAATCCTCACGGCTCACACTCTTCCTCGGTCCCCTTCCCACCTTCCACATCAGGATTTGTCCCCCCTGAGATTCATTCATAGTTATTGGCATCCTTCCGTCTCAAGAGACAATGGAGTGCGCCTCTGGGGGTGAGGTCAGAGAAACTGCTGGGTCAGGTCAATGGGCTATTTAGTTATTCTCGCAGGGGCAACCAGATGCTTGGGGGAAACCAGCAAACGGGGCGTGAAGGCAAGAGCCCTCTCTCCTCCTGCCGCTTCCAGCCGCTTCAGAAGCTTTGCTGCCACCAACCATCCTGGCGAGGAGCCATCTCCTCCATCCGTTCCTCCAGTCGTCTGTTAAAGCCATCGAGGTTGTCATCTTGCCCAAAGAGGCCCATTGCTGTGTGTGCTGCGCATCCAGAGTGCCTACATTTCTCCTGCGTGGGGGATTTGAAATAACTATAAAAAGTGGCACTCCTTTCCCCACTTGTTGGTACTTTCGAGAAGGTCCAAAGCAGGTGTCTGGAGACACATTTCACAATATGTATCGAAGAAGCTATCCGATTTTTAATACCCCTTTTTAAAAGTATTTTAGTATGCAGCATGCCTCCCCAATCTCCGAGCTGTGTGAGGTTCCAGGTGCTTCCCCAGGGTTCGCTTTTCCTTTTGGAAATGAGGCACAGCAGAGACTGTGGCGTCTTTAGGATATACGGTTTATTTACACACACACACACACACACACCGATCCTACAATGGAGTGGCTCACAGCATCAGCGCCCAGAAGGCCTTGCTTCTCTCGTCGTCGTAAAATCACAGAATTGAATAGTTGAAAGGGACCCAAGGGTCATCCAGTCCAACCCCCGGACATACAGGAATGGCGACGTCACCATGAAGGCCCTCATGGTGCCTCACCAAAGGGTGGGGATGAGTGCAGAAGGTGGAGAAACCAGCAGCTGAGCAAGGGCTAAGCCCAGGAAGCCCTCCTGCATTCAGCAGCAGCAGCAGAGACAGCCCCACAGTGCTCTTTAGCTGCAGCTTCTCCCCCTTCCTGACCTCCATGCACCAGCTGAGACTCCCTCTGGAAGCCATCCCACCCCCCAAGGCCAGGAAGAGAAGAGGAGCTCTTCCAGGTGACATGGTGCTTCACCAAGCCAAATGAAACTCACCCACCTTCAAAAATCACAACATATAATAATAATAATTTAATAATTTATTGTTTATACCCCGCCCATCTGGCTGGGTTTCCCCAGCCAATCTGGGCGGCTTCCAACAAAGTATTAAAATACAGTAGTCTGTTAAACATTAAAAGCTTCCCTAAAGAGGGCTGCCTTCAGATGTCTTCTAAAAGTCTGGTAATTGTTCTTCTCTTTGACACCTGGTGGGAGGGCGTTCCACAGGGCGGGTGCCACTACCAAGAAGGCCCTCTGCCTGGTTCCCTGTAACTTGGATTCTCGCAGCGAGGGAACTGCCAAAAGGCCCTCGGAGCTGGACCTCAGTTTGAATTCCATCCCCACTTAAAAAACCCCAAACAACACTGCAAAGGAAAGAGAGTCCTGTAACACTCCCAGAAAAGTCCCGAGTGGGAAGGGGCCTCGGCTGTCCCAGCTCATCCTCCAGGTGGTGGTGGGAGCAGCAGGATTGTCAGGGCTGAGTCAGTATGTTCGAGTTCCCCGGATGTGGGAGAGAACTTCAGGGTAGAGAAGAGGACACTGTGCCTGAGGGAGAGGGAGCTGGAGGAGCAGGCGAAGGAAGGGCAGTGTCTTCAGGCGTAGAGGGCCAGGAAGAGGCTGCTAGTGAGCCAACAGCTCCACAGGGACAAGGGTTAAGTTCTGGATCAGAGACTGGCGAGAGATTTATGACGGCTCTCGTGAGGTGCATGGACAAGAGGGAACTTGAAAGGCGGGGCGATAAATTCCCAAATTTTATGAGGTGTTGGCGGTGTAAGCGAAGGCCTCTACCGGTATCTGAACTGAGTGACTCTGATGAATGAATGAACTCTTGATGACCATTGTAAATATTGTAAATAAAGACCATTAAAGCACTAGAAGTCTCCGGAGGTATTTGTTTGTGAAGAGAGGAACACACCGCCCTGACAAGGATGAAGTGGCTTTCCCCACGGACAAGAAGTACCCCACAGCCTAGGGGCTACTGCCTACCATGCTCTTAGATTCAAACAGAAATCAAGCCTGGTCTCACTGCATGTCGAGACCACGGGCTCTGCAGCCCCCTTAGATAAACACGAGACACAAATATTTAGGTCAATGGGATAAAATGGGCCACAACTTTATTGGTTACACACGTGAGCGGTTTGTCTTAGGCATTGGGTGAAAGAAGACTATATCATGACTCCTGCCCATCTGCAGGGACCCTCCTAAGAATAAACCACCGGTAGAGGGAGCCCTATGATATACATCAAATCGTGGCACCCCCAGGGTCCCTGAAGGGGTTGTGGCATGGCCCTAGCCCACGCCCAGGCTTTGGACAGGCACCACACACCCAGATCCCTTTAACAGGATACCCTTAACGAGGAGGGGCAGGTGGAGGCTACAATCTCCCCTCCCATAAACAAGACTTACCCAATGCCTAACCGCCACTCAAGCCCCAAAGGATCGCTGCCAACACCCTCACACCTGCAGCCAATCCTTAATGCCCTTGACGAGATCAGCCAGCCAAACATCACTTCCCAAATCGGAAAGGTGAACGCCGTCATTATGAAACAAGTCCTCCTGCCTGTAAGTAATGTTGGGGTGTCGTATCACCTGTCCATTCAAGAGCTGCACCTTCTCTGCCACCCTACGATTAATAGTCTTCCTGGTCTTGTTGATTCCCCGCGGGCTGGGGAAATCTTGCCAATGCCGCCTCACCAGCATTTCAGACCAGATTAAGGTCAGGCCTGGGAACAAAGCAGCCAGCTTATCAAAGTCCTTAATCATGCTTACGGCTAGGTCCTTGCCGCTCCTTAGACCCAGGTCGTTGTCTCCAAGTTGAACAATCAGAGCTTTGGGGGGGCCATGAAAGGCAGCTCTGGCCATCACGATTGGCATAAACTCCTCCCATTTCATGTCACACTTTGTGACCCAGGAAACACTGAAACTTTCAGGAAGCCCCAGGCAGCTACCCAAGCAGGTACTGGTGGCACGCACAAAGGCCCAGTGGGTGATATAGTGTCCCACGATCCATATGTTAATCACGGGGTAACCTGAAAATAAAGGAGTGACAGAGCGTGATTACCATGGGTTCTTGCAGATATGCCTTCTGTATGCATTAGATCTTCAGCGTCCCATATCCTTGATTCCATCGGTTGGCAGACCCCAATGGGCAGATCCTAAAGGAATGCACAGCGTAATCCACAGCCGGGAGACCACAGGCCTGAAGAGCTTTCCGTTTGTCGAAAGCCTCCCTTGATATGTGTCTCCACTACCCTGCATTAAATTAGCTGCACTAGATTTCACCAGTTGTCATTTAGCAAGCTTTGAGGGTTCGTGTCCAACCCTTGTGGCACTTGTGGACAGCCCTCTGTGGCTTTTTCAGAAGAAATATCCGCCTGGAGATCATGGACAATCCAGGACACTTAGCTCTGCTCCAGGGCCAAACATCACCACAAACTTGTCTAATCCCTTTTGAAAGAAACCATCCAACCTGCTACTACATAACCCCCATATTGTCAAAGGGGTACATTTGGGAGGCAGAAGCTGACACAGGCAGTCCACTTCCTGAGCAATTAAAAAAATATCCCTGCATGTAGGAAACAAGTATGTCAGGGACAGGGGTTGAAGCCTAGCCATCGCCCCAATGTGCTCATTTTCTCTCTGTAGGAAATGGAAAAGCTTTCGACCATGAGAACCCTGACATATGATGCAATCTGAGATGGCACAAGACTATTACCCTTTTAAACCATAGCAAAATAATAGCACGTCAGATCTTGCATTGTGTCCTGGTGTCAAGGCAGAAGACAGGATAGTGTGCCTCCCAGTTTGAGAGAGGGGATGCAGCAGAAAAAGACAAACTTGTTTTTCTAACTTCAGCCTTCAGATTCCTGATTACGCTGCAGGCCCTTATCCTCCTAAGGATCTCAAAACCAAAACTCTCCTTCACTGCATAAATTCCCTGCTGCTCCTGAAGAGGTGCCGGGCTTGCTGCAGTTGGTACCTTCCCCTCCTCACCTCTGCACTGAAGCTCAGGTTATGGAAAACCTCTCTTCTGATTTTCCACACAATCTCGTAAGACCCGATTCAGCACATAAGATTGAGCTTTTGCAAGGCACGGAGAGAAACTCTCGGACCCCCGGGAGAATTAATCAGTGGGGGTGAGCCCTAACTTCCGACTCGCCCTGCAGCAAACGCCATGCCTTCCCACTTTTTCAGAAATCCCCACCCCAAAGAACATCCTAAAATAACAAGGAAGTGGCTGCTAAGGCAAGCCAGGGGCCTTGGTTATATGCCCAGGGACCAAGCGGCCAAGATCCACTTCCTGGACAGCAAGCTCAACCCAAGGACGTCCTTTACTGCCCACAAACTGACCCAATGGGTCTCCCTCATTGGATTGTGCATGGCGGAGGAAGTGCCGGCACTCAATGGCACGGACTTAGGTGCCCATGCACCCCCCTGTCCTACGGAAACCACCCCCCCCTAAATTCAATGATTAAAGAGAAAAGGCAACTAGTATTTGGGTCAAATCAGGTCATGACTTTATTGACTACTGGAGGAAAGACTTAATTTGGGTTCAACTGGAAATGAGCGAGTTCTTGACCTGCATCAATGAGTAGTCCCTTGCTGGATTGCACCTGGGGAGTGCTGTGGCCCTAGCCCCCACCTGGGCCTTTAGATTTGAGGGGAAGCCCAGGCTGCTGCCCCACCTGGACGAAACTGTGCGGACTTCGGCCCAATACACAACCCTGTGCCCACAAATCCATACCTTCTTGGTAGCCAATCCTCAAAAAGCCAAGAAAATAAACAAGACAGTGTAAGTTCAGGGGCACAGGTGTGCCTTGGAATGCCATCTCCTGAGGGACTTAATTCTATCTGCTGGTAAGTCCCAATTTGTCGTGATATGTGGGTTGGCTGGGAGGCACTAGCCGGGCAGAGGAGGAAGGCTCAGGGCCTGGGGAGTAGTGGTGGGGCAGAGATCACAGGTCAGAGGGAAAAGGAGGAGAGGAATGGTGGGGTGCTGAAGAGGCAACAGGCTTTCTCGAGCCGGAAGAGCCAGGTGTAGAAAGCGGTTCAGACTCAGCAAATGTTGCAGAGGAGGAGAGGACAGAGGCTGAAGAAGCATCTCTGGAGCTTGCCCTTCTTACTGGACTAAGTGTCCTGAAGAGAACGGACGCCATTATGCTTTTGTCTGTACAAAGTGTGTAAATAAATAGTAGATTAGCTCTACGATGTCTTACACTTCTTGCTGTGTTTTGCCAGAAGCTCAGTGTGCGTATATCCTTATGATGTCGCTAGAAGAGCACTGGAAGAGAAGAGAGATGCCTTTTCCAGAGCTGCGCATACCAGAGGATGTTCGGAGTTCCAGGGACTTGCAGGCACCCCAAGAGCGTTTTCCAACACTAAGCTCCCCAACCCCCTTATCTACAAGGACACAGAGGGCTTGCAGAACAAAGAACAGATTCCTCACCTCCCCGATTCCCACCCACCCACCAGGACGAAGCCGTTGGAGTTCCTTGAGTTGCCACCATCAGAGATACAACTGCAGTGACTGGAGACAGGCAGTAGTGTATCCAAAGCAGTGCTCAGAGGAGGAATGACTGCTGGGAGGAGCAGAGAGAGAAGATACAGCCTGGTGCATCTACCAGATGCCTTCACCTGCCCCAGCTGCAACAAAACATGTCTCTCCTGCATCGGCTTCTACAGCCACAGCAGATGCTGCAACCTGCCTCACCCCCTCCATTGTCTCCTGGATGCCAACCTAACGTGCAATTTACCTAGCTGCCTGTAGAGGGGTTCACAAACTACGGGTGAAGAATCCCTTGTTCCGCATTTTGCTTTAGTTTAGACTGAAAACCGAAAACCTAAAAGACAGCTTTGCAGAAGAACTCAGCTTGTGACCAACTTGGAAGTCTCCAGGCCGTCTCAGTTTCTTTGACGGGGCTGCCTGCTTGGCTATCCCTTAGTAAAGAAAAATAACCCAGCAGGGGCCAGACACCTCATCCTATTGCAAACCCTTCCCTCTAAATGGTTTTCCCGAGTCTTGAACTGAGGGGTGCTCAGCGCCTTGGCAGAATACCCTGGCATTTCATGCAACGAGCAATTACAATTTCATCACCGCCAGCCCCTGGCTATTTTTAGCTGTCTGTTTAGCAGAGCCATAAATGAAGGTGGCAGGAGGGCGGCAGGACTAGCTAATACATCTCCAGGGTACTGAATTACAAGCATTTGGAGATCGTGGGCAGGCTGGCAAATCCTGAAGAACATCACCTCCAAGTAAGAGCATAACTGCGCTCAACGCACGCTGGCAGTGGTCCAGCACTTTCTGGCCAAGGCGGTGACCATTATGTGGATCTCAGGGGGATGGCTCTCTAACATGCTGCAAAGCACGTCGCCCCCTCACCCATCAATGTCTCCAAACCATCCTGGTCCCCTCTCCCCAGCCTCTGCTCCCTGCCCATGGTTGCCGGCAGGAGCAGGGAGATTATGTTGTTTTTCGCCTTCAAGGCAGCTGGTGTGGGGCAGACACATGATGCCAAAGGTCAGCTGTGCAAGAAGTGACCGAACTGTTGTGACAGCCGCCCCGGTTTCGGATGTCTTCATTTGCTCCTTTACAAAAAAGCAGTGCAGCGTCCCATCCGCGTCCGAAACTGAGCGCACTCAAGACGTGTTGTTTGCTTCAAAACATACCATGTGATCCTCGCCGCGTGGAGGCATAAATAAGCCCTGCCGAGTGCTGTGAGGATTACAGCCTTAGCCTCACACCATAAAGAGAGTCTTGAGGGGTCAGGTGGAAGGCTTCCCTCTTGGGGAGGAGAGGGCTGTTGACAGCTACTAACCAAGATGGCTCTGCCTCCACGGCTGGAGGCAGAAATGCTTCCGAATGCCAGTTGCTGGAAATACGCTTTTCCACTCACCACCAAGACCGTTTTCCCAGACTCCCTCCGGCCCATAATTAACTTCACTGAATCACTTTCATGTACTTCCTCCCAAAAATTATGGAAAACAGGAGTTTTTTGTGACTCAAAAGCAAAGCAAGGGGAATAGTTTTTGCTCAACTTTCCTTACAATCTTTTTTAAGTTGCAGGACAATAGGGTTTTAAATGTACAAAATTTATAAGTGCCACCTACCTGTTTTAATGATCTGGCAGGAAAAAAACCATTGATCCATACAAGCTGTTGATCCGTATGTTATGTGTCCACGCAAAATCTTCAAAATGGTGCTGATTGTATTTACAAAGTGACATTCATAAACTTTCCACAAAACCTGGCTTACAGAGTACTGATACGATTTAAAGCCCTTCTTTCATTTTGCCAGCACAGCACATGAAAGATTCAGTCTGAGGGCAAATGCGGATTAAACACATGAATGGAAGATCAAGTATGAATTTCTGAGGACATTGTTAACAAGAGCAGGTGGAAGGACACTGTACATCATCTCAGATAGTAGTGGACAGCCTAACTTTACAATCTGTTAGCTCTAAATTTCACATAAAATTGTTGCAGTGGGAGTTTGAATACAGTTTGAAAGTATAAAGAAATTAGCACAGTCTAATGGAAGAATGGTCTAATGAGCTGAAGTCCAGGGAAAGGTATATTAGTTTGCCATTACCCAGAAATAAGTGCTGTCCAACTCGGGGGTCTAACTGAAGCACAGTGTAATGAAAGGAAGTTGAGGGAAAGTTGTAATTATTTCACCAGGTTCTTAACATACTGCAAATAAAGTATTTGAAAATCTTGAGTGCACTGGACATGGAATCATTTGCATATGGAGCCAAAGTGTGGAGCTTGAAATATAACTGAATTTGCTACACTTTTAGGTCCCATTACACAACCCCTTCTAAGAATAGTAGCTACTACTTGCTCAAGAGGCAAGCTGTAGCTATAATCAAGAGAGCAAGTCAAGTGAAGGCTGATGGTTTATGCATAGGAGGCTCATGCTAAATACCAGTTAGCAGAATTCTCCATATGTTTTACCCTCTCATACGTCTGACTTTGCTCTAGGTAGCAGTAGCAGCTAGGGATGGTGTTTTCCCATCTCACTCTTTAGTGC